TGAGAGCTGAAGTGGCAAATAAAAGAAAACGTCGTGCCAACACCAGGTCAACATGGAAGCCAACAAGTTCTCCCCGGCATCCCAGTGGCTTACGAGCCAACTTGACAATCCATGGTTGCAATGGACCAAACACTCCAGGGGCCGCCCACGAATGCTCGCCAGCTTTGCGATCGGGATGCAGTTGCTCTTCCGCATATCCTCGGAGAAGCTGCGCGACCCAAACTGTGATCTTCACAGACCCATACCGTGGATCACTTTTGCTTTGTTCGGGATCAATCTGCAGTTGAAAATGCTGGCATGGTAGTTGAAGATGGTGACTCGCTGTTTGGCCTGTCATCTTTCTGCGCTGTTGGAGAAACTTGTTCAGGTGTTGCACAAGAGATACATATATAAATCATCCATACATCCAGGTGATAGTTCCCCGGCTTCCCTTACATAGCTATTGATGGATGAAATGCATATCCCTAGGGCTCCTGGCCCACCTCCGTTTCGAGACTGGGGTGGGTGCGAGGGGGGTCCAACCACCGAACCTGAGGACATGGGCCAGGAGCCCTGGGGTATAATCAACTCCTACAAGTGCAACATAGATCCATGTACCGCAGAAGGTCGGGTCATCTTCCACACGGCTCGGCAGTTCGTTCTCGGTGAGCGAGCGCAGTCGGTCGCCCGAAGCAGGTCCACGGGCGGCATGGAGAGGCCCACCACATCCTTCATGCCATTCTTCGATATTTGCCAAGGGTTTCCTCTGAACTGCATCGCTACTAAGGCCAGTAGCTTCTGAAGTTCCTAGTAAGGCCAGTAGCGCCATGTTCGCGTCGCTTCTTGCTTCCCTTCGTCGCTTCGCTTCGCTTCGCTTCGGCTGTTCGATCCATCGAGGTCTGCGTGAGGCCGGCCGCCGTTGGTCGACATGCAGAAGAGAGTGGTGGGGCAGAATGGGCGGAACGCGTCATGTGGTATACAGTATACAGTATACAGTTGACAGTGAAGATAGGTGAAGATTCAGAGCAGGGCCACTATAGTGACATCTGGAAAGACCTGAATTGGAAGGCCAACGGGTGACCATATATCATCATATATCACAATAAAAGCCTTCCCAGTGCAGGACTTCCTTCCTCACCTCACCTTCCACGGTCGGACCCTCCGTTTTCGCCCAGCTTCGTTCGCACAGCTCGCTGGGCTCAGGCGGCTGGGAGCTCTCCGCCTCAAGCCTTGGCGGCGGCGCCCGTCGTTTGCCCGGTCGCGCCGATCGACCGGGCGGACGCCGGCGGGTCACAGCCGCCTGGTCTTGGATCGCGGGTGGAGACGGCACGTGCCGTCTCCAAGCTTGATGTCCGACTTCCAGAGACTTCCAGAGGTGCCTGATGTTGGGGGGATCCGACTCATCACCTGCCGTAGAAAGCTCACTCGGAGCTTAGCTCAGGGCTCACTCCGCCAGGTTGTGGAGGAAACACAGGTACGGTACGCCCGTAGCAATAGGAGGGTGGATCTGTCGATCCGGAAAAGAGACATATGGTTGTTAATACTTCATCACTAGGAGGGCACCCTGCATTACAAAGTCGAGCGACAGAGGTTCACGTTACGCACTGCTGAAGTCACTGTGGGGAAACACTGTGGGGAAAAGACTATCCTGCTGGTGGAAGGAATGACGCCAGCCTTCGCCGGAAGACACTATCATTCGGGTCCACTCTGCTGATTAAGATAAGATACCAAATTATCCTCAAACCATGGGAAGCAGTGATTGTTGAATGATTCAATATATTCCAGTGTAATTGTCAAAGACAATTGTAGATGGAAGTATATATCGGGGTGCACACAGCGCACCGGTGCAGTTCCTTCGTCTTGGTTTTGTTCGATGTTTTCGTCGCGTCCCTGGAACTCATTGATTCAGAACCCCGTGGAACTCAGCCACACTTCAGGGAAAAAGGTAATGCATCGGGTGGCTCATCGGCTGACGCGGCTGGCAGTGAATCATCCTTCCTGCACGGCGTACGGCATAGCGGCGCTAGCGATCGGCGATCACGAGTTGTTTGGGTTCATCTTCGGGGTGTCCCCCATGCAGAAGGTTGGGCCACTGACTGTATAGGTAATCATCCCTATGGATCCAAGTACCCTCTGAGAAGGTGTTTGGGGTGGGTGCCAGGAGGGTCCAAGTACCTTTTGACGAAATACTTGGATCCCTAGGGTCTGTAACTCAGAAGGTCTTAAGGAACACGATCTTCACTGGGTCTGGTCATTTCACTCAACACGATCCATCTGATCTCTTTTCCTCACCCGGTGACCCTCGTAGCTCACCCGGGTCAACTGCCACGAGAGGCAACCGATCGGGAGAAACAAACACATGCTGGTCAAACGGACCACCCTGGCGCCCTGGCGCCCTGGCGATGCTCTGGCGCCCTGTGACCGGTTTTCCAAGCGGACCTGGCGGACCGTGCCGCGCCTCGTCACCTCTGTGGTGCGGCGTGTGGCTGAGACCAAGCGGCTGCTGAGAAGCTGCACCTCGCGCTCGACCAAGCGGAAATCCTCCAGACCTCGAGGCCGAGCAGTCGGAAGCGTAGCAGTCGGTGACACCGTCTCGACCCCCGAGACGTTCATGGGAACCGGGTCGAATGGCACCCAAGTACGGATTTTCTACAACCCAGTAGTTTTCCAGGTTCCATGATTAGTTTTCAGTGGGGTATTGCTTGGGGTCTGGGTGGGCCTCTTTTTATCCATTGAAGCCCTCGAAACTCCAGGCCTTAGGGCCTTAGGGTCCATCAATGACCCCAAATGACCCCTTAAAGCCTTAGATACTATTTTGAAGCATCCTTCATCATGCAAGAGACACTGGAAGGTTCGCAGACTTCCCAAAGATCTCCCCGATCTTCCCATAATTCGCTAGTTTCCCCATACTTCGCAAACATCTCCGACCAAGTGGCTCCCACCAAACCCAAACACTCCATATGGGACTGAAAGATTTAGTACATATATACATACAAATACATACATGATCATATATGACACCTCAAATCGGTCCAACTGATCGGTCAAATATGCCAGTCCCAAACAGGTCGGGTCTGGAAAATATAGACTGAAGCTCCAAGCGGCGTTTGTTTTCTCCAAGCCAGTTCAGCATGGCATGGCGCACTTCCTCCAGCACCTGGAAGCGGGAAGCTAAGCAGCACGGTGCGTTACCCAAAGGCCGCCCTGGACCTGAAACAACTGCTACATGTTTGAGGTCAAAAACCCTAACTGTGAGGGTCAGCACCCTAGCTATGAGGCTGCATGAGCCTCTTGAGCCTCTGGGTAAGTACCTGGGTAGACAATTCATTACTTACTGGATGGTTGTAATTTTCAAACACTCCATGGGGCGGAGTTGGGTTGTGGCTCATTTCACCACTGGCACTGTTGGTCCCAATCCATCTATCTGAAACACCCAAGTCTAGTGGGCTAGAGACAACATCAACATGCAGTCGTTCACTGTGAACATCTTTGAACACAAGCTTTGTCCTGGGAAACAAATCACCTGCAAATGGATCAAAATGACTCAATGTAATATCATCGGGCATGTCAACCTGTACCATGAGAGGGCACCAACCACTGCCAAGCACTGCCCCAACCACTGCCGAAAACGCTGCCCCAGTACACGGGCAAAAGCGGCTTCTGATTTCCCCACCCTGCTTCATTTACAACAAAGGGACCTCCTCTCCCTTCTGTACCGTCTCCTCGCTGGCACGCTCATCGCCCATGGCGCGCAAACGGCTCCGCTCTTTGGCGGAAACTGGCGATGCAAATCTCAAAGCTGAGAGGGTGCCCAGCTTAGGACCTGAAGTGTTTCTTTCCCTCCTTAGGGAAGCCTAGGAGATCTACCACCTGAAGTGGTGCTTCGAAGTCTCTATACCTGGTGTTTCTCAAATCCCTCCTTTCTGAAGGTTCTATACCCTACGGCTAGGAAAACTACAGAGAAGGTGGTTAGGGTGGGTGCCAGGGGTGTCTAACCACCGAACCTGAGGATATGGGCCAGGAGCCCTGGGGATAGCATATATCAGACTGTGTCACTGACTGTTCCGCTTGGGGAACTCTAAACCCAGGTTCCAGCTGGCCGCGACGCGCAAAGGGAAGATGAGTAAAACCCCTTCATCGCTCCCTCACTGGTTAAACCTAGGACCTTGACTGATCTTGCTTTCTTGTTCTTGTTGTTCTTCTTCTGTGGTCTTGTTTTCCTTTGTATTTTTCGAGTTTGGTGGAAGAAATCCTTCAGCATGACATCTGGATTCCACGAGATCACGAGATCAACAGGACGCATAGCCGTCCGAGAATGTACTGGGACACAGCTACTTTGGTTGATTCTTTGGGCCACTTTTGTTCTTTTTTGTCGAATCTGTGATCCACACGCAGCAGGCCAGGCCAGTACAGCTCTCGAACGCATTGAGGTCATAGATATATAGCTGCGGATGGAAAGAGGGGGACCCTGGCTTTTCCCACCCAAAATGAACAAACTGGTCAACCTGCCAGGGATTGGGAGTCTGGATTTTGACCCATTGCCATATTACCACGGGGCAGATAGGATGTGGATTGACTGGTCATTCGCTGCATTCAACGATTCTCAAATCCTCATCCTTGGGATCTACTGGAATTTCACTCTCCAGGTACATCGATGAACTTGGTTCGCTGGATGGGGTTTTGTGGTATTTTAGTGTGTCCTGTTTGCATGGTCGAATCGGTTGAACCGGAACCAGTTCTAAAATGAGTGCGCACCTTCTTCATGTCTGCCTGTTGAACCTCAACAACTTGCACGCCCCCAGCATGTCTCGAATTTAATCAGGAGGTGACCCTGTTTGTTTGGAGAAGGGGTGTGAATGTTCCCTGTAAAGCCACAAAGTGGGCAACAGGTCATCATTATGTGATAGATAGAACATGTTGGACAGCTCACCTTACAATCAACACATGTGGTTTGCTCCTTGTTTTCAGAGTGTTGCATTCTTGTCCACGCATTTGCCCAAGTCCAAATGATGCCCAGAAGCAAATCCACCAAGGAGATCTCTCTGCCGATGTCGAAAGCGAAGAGATGCCTGGCATCTCAGTTGAGACGATCTGTTCAGAACAGGTCTACTGAGTCTACTGAGTGTGAACGAGTGTGAACGTTCTGAGGCACCTTCCCTCCAGTTGGACCTCCGAATCCGATTCAGCATGATTTTTGTCCCAAGATTCATCACAACTCAAGTGGGGGCAATTGCAGCTCCTTTCAGGAATAGATAGATTTCTGTGGATCCACGGATCCACCTGCCGTACCTCAGGTTCGGTACAGGACCTTCGCGGCACCGGAGGGTGGCAGTCTGGATCCACATCCAAAGAGTGACCAGTTCAGAGCTTCCTCCCGGCTCCAATTATAGGTTGCAAGCACCTGGAACAAAAAGGGTTCCCAACACCTAGGAGGAAGCTGCGTGGGTTGCTGTGAGGAGCAAGATTGTCCTGCCAAACGCTTCAGGTTTGTCATGGTGTGTTTCCTTTTCTTCAAACAACAAACGTGTTGAACACTTTGGGGTGATGAAAATACATCTTTACAGTTGGAATCTCCTTCGACCGTTCAATGAAACTACAGCATTGCTTTTCGAGAGCAAAGGGTGCAGCTTTAGAGAGTACTACAACTGCTTTGATCGCGTACTGGTTTGTCAGTCAAACACCAGGAAGACCATCGACAGGATTGCAGGTGGAAGTGAAACCGTTGGTCCAAATAAGGCCCAAACAATTTTCAATGGCCAGGATTAGGGATCCAGTCGTACCTTCTCAGAGGATACGACTGGACTCCAAACCGACGTAACAGTGTCGAACACATCACCTTTTGAGAAGGTACTTGGATCCCTAGGGCAGAAGAATTGCCACAACAAAACACACTCGAAGAATGTCTTGAGGTGGCTAAATAAGCAAGGCTCAGCAGGCATGTTGACTCCCAGGTACAGCAACTAATGCGGTCCTCTGATTAATAGAGGCCCCCAGAATAATGTCAGCAAATTTCCCTGCACTGATTAATAAAGGCCCCAGAATAAAGTTTTTTTGGGGGAGGGATATGTTTTGGGAAAGTATGTGTGTATTGTTGTTTATTGATGTTTAATGTGTCGTTTATTTTCCTGTAATTTTTAATATTGCAAATATCTTCATAGGTTTTGATTCCTGTCATTTTACTATTGCAAATGTCTTCAGTTTTGATTCTTTTCATTTTAGTATTGCCAGATAAGCTCCAGAGCTAGCTAAGTAATGATTTATGTGTTCATCAATTGATTGGTTTTCCATCATATTATTCTAGCGTCTCCAATTGTTGGGGGTGGTGATTATAATCAAGGGATTACATTACCAAGCCATAGAAATAGGACACTTGAGGCACAGAATTCTACATACATCTACATACTCTCCGCCACATACTCTTCGACAGCGACAGCTCCTCTTTTCACACCTGACACGTCGCGCAGGTCACGTCGCGCCCACGTCGCGCAGTGACCACTGCGGCGGCCACGTGGATAGCCACTCGGCCACACCGGTGTGGCACTCACATGGCCGGTTCGTAGAAACGCACTTGGTCCACCCTGCCGGAGGCTTCCGCCACTGGCCGGACACATGACCGGTGGCGGAGGTTCTATCATGTCATGTGATACCGATGTTTTACACATTGATGTGTGTTTTCTTAACAGATTGAATGATATTCTCTACAAGTTGAAACCTTTCTTGAATCTTTGGATGATAGACTGCTTGGCCAACCAAATGGTACAGACTCTGTCGACTTGATTTTGGTTCGCTCGGCTCATCAATGGGAATGCGGCCACTTGCTGCAAATTCTTCCCAAAAAACAATACAGTCAGAACAATACCAAAATGTCTAACGACCATCATAATAGGCTGTCGTATGAGCTGCTACACTTGCAAAATGGTCAACATACACCTAACACTTCCAATGGGTGCTCAATGGGGACCTATCGGTAGGGTAGGGTTGTCCATTTGTGACCCGTTGGAAGCACCTGGTGTATATATATATATAACATGTCACATCTGAAACACACCTGCAGGTCCCAGGGATCCTTCTTTGGCTTCGTGAGGTCGCCTTCTAATGTGAACAGGTTCACGACAATGTTCACACGAATAAAACCTACCAGGGACACTCCTTAACAGCTAAGGGGCTATAAATAGACACTCCTTGGAGGCTCCTGGTATGTGAGTCAAGTGTAAAGACATAGTTTCCCCGCAAGAGTGCACCGATACTCGCGAGTTTTGATCTCCTATAACATATTACAATACAGCATCGCAAAGGGCCTTTTTGGGAGGAGCAGCCGACTGGAAAGATCCAAGGCAAAAGTAAGATCAACCATATCCATCAACCTAACTTGGACATCAGTGACATTCAGTGACTGAACTCTTAAATCACAACGTCCTCCTAGTAGCAGATTAGTAATAGTAGTAGGTTGTAGGAGAACTGCCGTTCTAAAAAAATCATCCTTGTCTGTCCCTGATCAGCCTGAAAGGACTGTCTCATCCCCCACAGGCCAGCCCACGCTCGCTCGCTGGTCCACTGCTTGCGCCGCTCGCCTGTGGCTCCAATAGATGCGTCCCTCAAGGTCCACTCGACGACTCCAATTGGGGTCCGATTCCTGAGAGGGTAGCGGTGAGACGCACGGCAAGAGCGGCGCAGTTCAACGGCAACGGTTTGACGTGGGCAGGAACGGTTCCAGGAGGCACCGCGGGGGGGAGGGTAGTGCCTAACAAGAGCATATTTACTCCCACCCGAAACCCTAGGAACAACTATAGCAGCTACTATAATAGGGGCTCCTGGCATCGCCAGGCACGGAGCGATCGGACGCCTACGTTCGGGGCTCAAAGCATCGACTTCTCGTCCCAAGACCCTGAACATCGGACCTTTCATCCACACAGACGGGTCGTCTCTCTTCAGTCCGCTTCGGACCGGGCCACTCTGATACACAACTAGCGCAACTAGAACATATAGAGTCAATGACTGGGTCAATGTTCTGTATTTCCAGGATTCCAGCCACCCCACAGGTAGACTTCCGGGATCCTCCACTCTTCCACGAGAGAACTTCTCGGGTTTCGTCGCGCAACACCGAAGTGGTTGGTGTCTGGCGGTCCGTCGGCGTGTTGGACGCAGCCGAAGACACCATCGGAGCCCTAACGATCCACAGTACCGTACCGACGGGGTTCCGGTACCGACCCGGGCGCCGACATAGTATGCCAGGTACGCTCACGGTATAGCGACCTGGTTGAAGAGAAGCCTGATGGATACGACAACCATCCCCGTACAACGCCAAAGGAATGAAGTCCGTCTCGGTGGTTCGGAAGGTGGATCCGGGGAGGACTATAGAGTATTTGTTCCGAATGGACAGCATATTTTACATGTGGGAGTTGATCTAAATTCCTTTATCCGGGATCCGTCATTTTCGCCAAAAAAAAATTTACTTTCGCCAAACTTTCGCCTTCCTGCGTTTTATCTTTCGCCGAAGTACGTTGTATTTATGTGTGCCATGTATGTTGTGTTTTGTTCACGTCAATGGCTTCTTCTTTACTGGCAAACACAAAATACAAATTTCACTGTTTGTCAGCATGTGTCTTCTACTTAACTGTTGACACCCTGTACGTCTCTTTTGTTTCTCCTGGGTGTCAGCAAGAGTCAAAAATGCAAGAATCACTGAAGTAGCCGGTCACCGAAACTTATTCATAATGGGCTGGGGGTCAGATGTGGCAGGGTGAACTTTCGCCAATCTTGAGCTGAACTTTCGCCAAACTTTCGCCTTTTGCGGGGTAGAGTTTTGTGGCAAAGCCACCCCCCAAGGCAGGAGCAGGAATAGTAGGAATAGTAGTAGGAATAGTAGTAGGAATAGTAGTAGTAGTAGTAGTAGTTAGTAGTTAGTAGTAGTTAGTATAGTAGTAGTAGTAAGTAGTAGTAAGTAGTAGTAAGTAGTAAGTAGTAGTAGTAAGTAGTAGTAGTAAGTAGTAGTAGTAGTAGTAGTAGTAGTAGTAGTAGTAGTAGCAGTAGTAGCAGTAGTAGTAGTAGTAGTAAGTAGTAGTAAGTAGTAGTAAGTAGTAGTAGTAGTAGTAGTAGTAGTAGTAGTAGTAGTAGTATAGTAGTAGTAGTAGTAGTAGTAGTAGTAGTAGTAGTAGTAGTAGTAGTAGTAGGTAGTAAGTAGTAGGTAGTAAGTAGTAGGTAGTAAGTAG